ATGCATGTGGCATATAACTATCACTACTGGGATGGTTTTTGGTTAGCACATGTTAATGGCTTTCAGAAGGATGGAATCTTTACTTTTCTCCCCTGGCCCTATTTTGCCAACTAACAGGTCTAATGACTGAAATAAACTATTTTGTGTAAGAGAAATCCTTCTGAATTTTAAACTATTTATGCTGACACACTATAGCCCTGATTCTTTTACTGCTTCATGCTCAAAAAGCACTGACAATTTCTTTAAAAAGTATATGGAAAGTTTCTGGTCTGCAACTAGGCAACACTTCCAAATTACTACAAAGATGATTTAATTTATATCATCTCCCCTAATTCTATTTACAAAAACAGATCAATTGTGACGATAAAAGTCCCAGTGTTCTAAAATATTATCTAGTTAGAGCAATATTTATTCATTCAAAATATTTACGGAGCACCAATTACATGCCCCAGATTGAACAAAATATGCTCAATAAAAATATTGCTCATAATTTATTATTTTTGATTCTGAGTCTCCAATCGTTACAAATATTAAGTGTTACAAATAATAGAAAACGCTATTGGTACCAATCCTACAGCAGACCAAGAAAATTTGTTTCCAAAATAACTTTTATTGCTTTAACTATTTAAAAGCCAAAAAAAGCAGAGATGTCTATGGTTTACAAGGTTTGCAGTGTTTGGATATCCACTAATATTATGAACAGTAAGTTCCTTCTTATAATATTTACACCCTACACTTTTATTTTGTAGCAAGATGTAGCAATGCATCTCATGGAAAATGATAGGAAAACCACCACCTTCTGAAAGAAAAGATACTGTTAAGAATTGAAAGCACTTAAAACCGATATATTAAATAATCTCTAAAATGTGCTTCTCTGAACCCTAATATTAATAAAAGTCCTATGACTCCTCTTCAGTCACGAAAAGCAGCAGAGAAAATGAAACTTAACACTTCTGTCACTCATTTATTTTCTCGACATTTATGCACATAAAAAATTATGAGTTATCTATGAGACCCAACATGAAAAGACCACAGAACCTGATGCCCAATTTAGGTCACGATCACAAAACTGTGGAAGAAAAAAACCACAGCCTACGCCGAAAAATTGGATATTCCTTCCTAATACCTACAGAATTCCAGGTACGCGAGGGGATTTTTTTTTTTTAAACACTGCTTCGGCGTTCTCGAAACCTGGAGGGGTTATACTGCAGGAAAACACTCCGGCAATGCACAGCAGTGGCCTCTTAGCCTAGAAAGCGCGGTTCCGGAACTGACACTGCAGCCCTTGCTCAAGGTAAAGAGGGAAATAAAACACCCCGCCGCGCACAAGCCAGCCCACCACGAGCCCAGCGCGGCCCCGGTACCCCGCGTGTCCCCCAGGTGCCCTTGGAAGCAGCGGCCCGAGGACCACGCCGCGCCCGGTCCCAGCGGACTCCCGTTCCGCCCGCTGACCTATCCTTCCCACTCCCAGCCCCCGGGGCCCGCCGGGCCCGCCGCGCCGGCTCCGCCCCTCGCCGCTCGGCCAGGCCCCGGATTCTCCGCCTCGGTGCAAAACGGCCCCGGGCGGGCAGGCGCGTCGGAGCCGAGAGAGCCCCGGGGCCCCAACAGGGCCCTCCTCCCACAGGCCGCCAAGGCTGACCCAGAAGAGGGCACTGCAGCCCAGACTAGGCCTGCGTCCCGGGCTCTGGCCTGGGCGAACGCCGCCCTCGTCGCTCACCTGCGTTCCCACTACGACGATCTGAGGCAACTGGATGATGTCGGCGCCCACTGTGTTAAAGACGTCCTGGAGCTTGTTGATGACAGGAATTAGCGCCTCCATGACTCAGAAAACACGGGACCCCCGCCCGCCCGGCCGCCGCAATGAATGGGGCAGGGGCCCAGAATTCGCCTCCTTCCTCCTCTCCTCCGCCCTCTCCTCGGGAGCCGGCACCCATTGGACCCGGCCCGCCCGCTACCTGCCCCCTCCCGGCAGGCCATGCGCCATAAGGCGGTGGGAAAGAACAAAGCCTGCCGGGAGTTGTAGTTCTGGCAGAGGGGAACGCGCTTGCCTACGGCTCCCAGAAGGCTGCGCGGCACGGGCGGGCCCCGAGCAAGTGTGGTGGGGGTGCATGGGGTGGGGATGTTTCCTGGCCTCCTGTCTAGAGGCCAGGATTGAAGCCAGGCGAGTAGGAGGAAGTAGATACACTCATGCTTGTCCTCAAAGTATGATGGATGTGAAAATGCCGCGTGTAAATATGTGTTAAGTACAGCGACATTTCTCTTGATTATCCAGAGTGTCATTTCCTTATGAGGAGCTTTCTTAAAAAGGACAGGTTGGAAAAGTTTAATCAAAGAATAACATGGCCACGGATGCCCAGCTGGGTGCAAAAGGTCTGTACGCTGATACTAGAATGTATGGGTTGCTATTTGCAAAACTACATAACCAGCCCAGAACGCTCTGCTTCTCCAGGATTTATGTAAAAAAAAAAAGTGTTCAGAAAAAAATCTTACAATGTTGGAGTATTAGAGGGGAAGAGCCGAGCCCTTATTCTCTACATTCCTTATAAACCTTTATTTGCTATGGCCTGATTCTGGCAAAATAGAGATATGATAACTGCCTTACTTGTTTTTTGGTAAGTATTCTATTTCTAAATGTTGTTTTTCTTTTTAGACAAATAATATCTCTCCTCTACTCCAAACCTTAAAGGATTTCGTATCTCAAAGTAAAAATGGTGACATTCGAGCAAAGACCTAGAGCAGATGAGGGGGAAGTCCCCTTCCCGACTTTATTTTTCTCCATAGCACTTATCTCCTAACACACTAGCATTAAACTTGTATACTCTCCTCTCTTGCTAGATTATCAGCTCCTAGAGGATAGGGATTTTTGACCCTTTTAATCACTGATGTATCCTTAGGCCCCAGAAAGGGACAAACAAGATGGTCACAATCTCAGTCCCCTCTGAGTTTATAATCTAACACAGGAGACGGGTGATGACGCCATTATAAATAAATGAGTAGGTGCTACAACTGTATTATGGAGTGCATAATAGGAGCACTGTTTTCCAGTCTGAGGGGGAGGGGTAGAAGTTCAAGAAAGACCTCCTAGAGGTTACTAGATTTAATCTCCATGAGGGCAAGAACCACCTACAGTAGTGGAAGTTGTGTACTACACAACTCCGGTCGGTACCATTCACCTGCACAGCTGGGCACAGCAGCCCTGGAATGACTTGATTTGTTCAGCAGGACAAATAGTAGGCACTTAATAAATGTTTTTGAACAAATGAATGAAATAAGTTAAAACCTGAAGATCCAATAGTGGTATTTTCACATCTTGTCAAGTTTGGTGAACATCCCCTTATCTTTTGATTATTTTTAAAAACAAAAATTTCAGAGACAAAATTTCAGAGATAAAAAGAGGAAAAAAAGCCAGATCTCCGAAAAACAAAGAGTTCAATTCCAAGTCTCTTATTTTCTACCACAGATAATATTACAGAATAGTGAGACATTACCCGCTTGCTTCTCACCCCTCTGTTGATGGAGCTTTTTGTTCTCTTCTAAATAGTAATAGAAAACTGAGTAGTCTCTGCTCCTTCCAACAAGAAAAGGCAGACAAAAAGAGGGATTAGGCTCATGGTGAAGCTTCACAGACATAACCAGTAACTACTTTAAAAGGTCCAGGTGCCCTGGGACAAAAACGATGCAACTACAACTGTTTTTTCCTTATTTGTGGCAACAATAGACATGATCTTTTCTTATTTGCTAATGGCAAAATTAGAAGGGCAAGCATACATATATTCCAGAAAGTGAAATGTTAAGAATTTTGCATGACATTATATATTTCCATGGAAATTACGTTATCTCTTGGGATGGAACATCCAGAGCCTTGCATTAATGTGCATCTTTTTCTAGCAGAAGGAGAAAGGATCACATGACCAGTGCTCAAACGTCTTCCTATCCCTACCACCACCAATCAGGTTTAAGCAGGATGGTCCAGTAGCTATCTATAAACTCTAGAGCATTGAGTTAATCAGGCACAGAGGAAAAGAAACAGGAAATGATAAGGCCTTGAGAAAGAGTGGCTCTAATTTGATAACTTTTTTAAAAACATAAGGCAGGATACTCTATGCACAATGTGTTTCACTGGGGGGTAACAAAGCAAACCAATTTGGGTTTTCACATTTTAAGTTCAGAACATTTGTTTGTAGGAAAGCCATTTAACCAATAAGTCTTTCCTCATTAAAACAGGATAATGTGTTCTTCAATGAGTTGCTATGGAATCACAGTAAGCCGCTATCAGGTATTATCTCAAAAGGCCTTTTTAAAAACTCTTCTAGCCTAGTGGTGGTGCCTATAGTTCCAGCTACTCGGAGGACTAAAACTGGAAGATCACTTGAGCCCAGGAGTTTGAGACCAGCCTAGGCAACATAGCGAGACCCCATTTCTACAAAAAATAAGAGAAAAATTAGCTGGGCATGGTGGCATATGCCTGTAGTCCCAGCTACTTAGGAGGCTGAGGCGGGAGGATCATTGAGCCCAGGAGTTCGTGGCTGCAGTGAACTATGATCACACCACTGCACTCCAGCCTGAGCAACAGAGTGAGACCCTATCTCAGGAAAAAAAAAAAAAGAGAGACTATTTGGCATACTTGCAACCTCTACACATATACACATATTGCCCTGTTTCTTCCTTCCTTTCCTCATTTAGTCAACACATATTTATGAAGTACTTATTAGGCTCTTTTTTTTTTTTTTGAAAGAGGGTCTCTCTATGTTACCCAGGCTGGTCTCAGACTCCGGGGCTCGAGTGATCCTCCCACCTCAGCCTCCCAAGTGGCTGGGATTACAGGTGTGAGGCACCACACCTGGCCTTTTTAGGTATCTTGGTCTTAGCCAGCCATTATATTTTGGGGGAAGCCAAGGAGGAGCTGTGGACATGACAGTAACATGCCCTGCCCGCTTTGTCAATAGTGAGCTCACTAAGGACAGAAATGGTGATCTTATTTAGCTGGTTTTCCCCGCTACCTCCTAGGATGCTTGTTACATAATACCAGTCTACTGGACTTGGGTTTTCTTTTCTTTTACTTGGAAAGTCTGGCATAATAAGGATTTAAGCAGCTCTGAATTGATTCAATTGCAACCAGGATTTGCAATCAAAACCAGCCAACACACAAGAAGCTGCCTTGGCATAGGACTCCTCACCAGAGTAGCTGCCAAAATTACTTACCCAAGGAGTAGGCTGGCTTTGTTCTCACTTAAAATCTCTAATGAGAAAAATTTATTTTGAATTAAATTAATAACTAGAAATTAATAGTTCTTGAAAAGGGTTATTCAGACTATTTTTATAGCATGTGTCCAATATCATTTTATGCCAACATTTGATCACAAATCACAGCCAAGCTGCCATTATCCATGCCTTCAAATCATAGCAGTGAGTGCTGATCTAATATTAATACAAAATATACTACTCTGATGGGGAAGCCTCTTTGTCATATTTTGGAAACTGCCCGTGTTTTGCAAAGACAATAAAGTAAACAGATTTAATCAATTTGCTACTCCCTAGGCCTCGAGCTTAACATACTCTCTTAGCAGGTGCAGGAAATTGTCTGCAGATGGTGGAGTGAGCCAGATGGTTCAGAAGCCAGAAATTGAATCTGGAGAGCTACTGACAGCCCATTAGAGGGCAGTGTGACAACACAGTTAAGAGCAGTAAAGGCCAAAAGAACTTAGGAGTTGAGATCCAGTCTTGTCTCATCTCCCTTGACTGTTTTCTTCACTTTGCTCCACACACACACCCCAATGGAACATAGCCCTTCCTTTAATCCTCCCACCATCAAAACACATGGCAAGCTCTCTTTGAAATGATAGAGTCATTTTACGTCACAGCAATGAGAACAACTAAAATTACATGTTAGATGTCTCTTTTCTTAAATCTTAAACTACTTCACCTGGCCTGTTTCTGAAAATTTCTCATTAGCCTCTTTTCTTTACACCTATACTTCAGGTTCCCAAAATGTTGTCTGACACTCTTAGAAAGTCCTCAAATCTCCTTTCTCCTCTGTTTCTCAGGCTTCCTTTTGATCTCCCCTACACCAACTCAATTCACCCACATTTTAGGTGAAGAGAAATTTAGCTCTCAGCCTTTGGTTAGCTACCTTTGCATGTCCAAAGGCTCATCACTAGTTACTCTGGCTTTAGCAGCCAGGTCTAGTGGAGGCTTTGAACATGTTTCCTTTCTAATTCCCCAACCAGTCCATCGAATCAGTATTGGGCAGCACCAGTCAATTTGAGTTTTAAGGGCCAATTTTCTAGATATGGCATACATATCTAGATGATTGGTAAAACACATCAGTGATGCAACTAGTAAATTAGTAAATAAGGGAATATATCAGAAGATACTAAATACAGTATATATAATGTGCATAAAGGTTTATCTAACAGTTGACTTTTTGTTTCTTTATGATGATTTTCATTTATTCTAATTCCTCTTCAGTTACTGAATGTTTGACTAAAAGGATGAATAGATTGATGGTTGAATGAATGAATAATTGAAGAAAGGTTTTGCATATTCATTATACTTCATCTGGGCTAGTCAGGTACTAACAAGTTGCTATTAATATTTTAGAACTGATGCAGCATGAGAAAAAGAGTTCTAAATTAGTCATTTTCTTTAAGAAGCTATACCCTTACTTCCAACCCCTTATCTATGAAATGGAATAATAATTAAATACTAAGAATGTTGACCTAACAAAAGTTTTAAATATCATTAGCAGTACTATTAAGTTAATACAAACCTAGAAAATGATCTGCCCCAAAACCCAGACAGCAGTTTTACATGTGTGCCACTATTCACACCAGCAGTAAAAACAAAAGGAAACAAAATAAAAATGTAAACATAAAAATGAACATTAAATACTATATTAAATACTAAAGATACAAAAGTGAGCAAAACAGATAAACTGGCATTCTTCAAAAGTCCTCAAATGGGCAATTAGCCAGTACTC